CCGGAGAAGCAAAGGGTCCTTGTCTTCGCCCAAGAGAGAGCTCAGGCATGAGACAGAGAGTAGTGGAAAGCAAAATAGCAAGGTTTATTAGGGTAGGGACATCCGTAAGAACGGGTGGGCACCTCTCCAGACAGGACCTGAGAGAGAGTGCGCAGTTCACATTTAGGCTGGGGTTTTTAAGGGGATGGGTCTTGCCTTCCTGCCTTTTCCCTCCCCCACTCCTTCTTCTCCTCTGGAACAAAGGACTTGTTGGGTGTAAATGCAAAATATTCCTTTCTGAGTTTTTCCACTGAAGTTATCAGACAGGGGAAGCCTGGCTGGCATTGCCCCGCCTTAGAGGAAGGATGTTTATCAGGCCAGGTAGAAGGGTCAGGACTCCCTGGAAGGTCATCAGGATCCGGGCGGGACTTTGAAGTGCAGATACTGGACTGCACCTGGAAGGTGATCAGGATGACTTTGAGATGTGGATGCTGGACCGCTGTAGATGTCAGTTCCTTAGGCCCTTGTCACACACACATAAGCTCATTTCTGACTTCCTACCTAACATAAGGGGGCAGGGGGAGGGCATTCAGTTTGCTTCCCAAAGACCCATGAAAGCTGAGACTGGGCCACACTGGAAGGAATTCAAGTGAGGTCTCCCAAATCGGTGGCAGGGACCCAACTCCTTGGGCCATCATCATTGCCTTTCAGGATGTATACTGGCAGGAAGAGGAGTCCGGAACCCACGCTGGGAAGCAAACCTGTGCTCTTGGATGTGGGACATGGGCATCTGAACTGGAGTCTTCGCTGCAGTTAAATTAGTCAGATTCTGCTTTTTTTCTAGAACATCCATTTGCTTCTTCTTTTTTTTAAAAAAATTTATTTATTTGAAAGACAGAGTTACAGAGAGGTAGAGACAGAAAGAGGTCTTCCATCAACTGGTTCACTCCCCAGATGGCTGCAATGGCCAGAATTGTGCCGTTCCAAAGCCAGGAGACAAGTGCTTCCTCTTGGTCTCCCATGCAGGTCCAGGGGCCCAAGGACTTGGGCCATCTTCCACTGCTATCCCAGGCCACAGCAGAGAGCTGGATCAGAAGAGGAGCAGCCGGGACTAGAACCGGCACCTATATGGGATGCCAGCGCTTCAGGATAGGGCTTTAGCCCACTGCACCACGGCGCTGGCCCCCAAGTCATCACTTCTTGAAGTTCAATTTCACTTCTACAGATTTTGTTTTAGGTGCTCTATTAGTTCACACAGATCAGGGAGAACATATGGTATTTATCCCTTATTTGGCTTGTTTCACTAAATATGATGTTTTACAGATTCATCCATTTTGTTGCAAATGACTGAATCTCAATTTTTATTTATTTATTTTTTTTACTGCTGTGTAGTAGCCCATAGTTTCTTTATCCAGTCTTCAATTGACAGCCATTTAGGTTGATTCCAAGTCCTAGCTACTGTGAATTGAACTGCAATAAACATGGAAGTGCAGATAACTCTTTTTGTTTACTGATTTCATTTCCCTTAGGTAAATTCTCAGGAGTGGGATGCTGGGGCATATGCTAGGTCTATATTTGGATTTTTGAGGTATCTCCATACTGTCTTCCATTGAGGCTTTACTGTTTTACATTCCCACCTACAGTGGATTAGGGTACATTTTCCCCCACATTCTTGCCAGCATTTGTTGTTCGTTGATTTCTGTATGAAAACCATTCTAACTGGGGTGAGCTGGTTTTTTGAAAATATAATCCAAATTGACACACCATTGGCCCAACTAACCAAAAAAAGGAGAGCGATGACTCAAATAATAAAATTAGAGAAAAAAGGAAATGTAACAACAGAAACCACAGAAATAAAAAGAATCATCAGAAATTACTACAAGAGCTCTATGCCAAAAAACTGGAAGACCCAGAAGAAATGGATAGATTACTGGACACAAAAAACCTACCTTATTGAGTCATGAAGACCTTAAACAGACACATAACCAAGACAGAAACTGAAATCAGTAATAAAGACCCTCCCAGCAAAGAAAAGCCTAGGACCAGATGGCTTGACTGCTGAATTCTATCAGACATTTAAAGAACTAACTCCAATTCTTCTCAAGCTATTCAAAACAATGGAAAAAGAAGAAATCCTCCCAAATTCTTCCGTGAAGCTAAAATCACCTTAATTCCTAAACCTGGAAAAGATGCAACAAAGAAAATACAGGCAATTTCCCTGAAGAACATAGATACAAAAATCCTCAACAAAATAATAGTCAATTGAATCTAGCAACACATCAGGAAGATCATCTACCCAGACCATATGGGGTTTATCCCTGGTGTGCGGGGATGGTTCAGCATTCGCAAATCAATCAATGAGCACATCACATTGACAAACTGTAGAACAAAAACAAAATTATTATCTCAATAGATGCAGAGAAAGCATTTAAAAAATACAACACCCTTTCATGATGAAAACTCTAAACAAATTGGGCATAGAAGAAACATTCCTCAACACAATCAAAGCAATTTGTGACAAACCGACAGCATCATATTGAATGGGGAAAAATTGGAAGCATTCCCACTGAGATCTGGTACCAGAGAGGGATGCCCACTCGCACCATTGCTACTTAATGTAGTCCTGGAAATTTTATCCAGAGACATTAGGCAAGAAAAAGAAATCAAAGGGATACAAATTGGGAAGGAGGAAATCAAACTATGCCTATTTGCAGATGACATGATTCTATATATAGGGGATCCAAAAATCTCCACTAAGAGACTATTGGAACTCATGGAAGAGTTTGGTAAAGTAGCAGGATATAAAATCAATACACAAAAATCAACAGCCTTTGTATACAGATAATGTAAAGGCAGTGGTTCAGGTTCTAAGATCAATCTCATTCACAATAGCTACCAAAAAAATAAAATACCTTGTAATAAATTTAACCAAGGATGTGAATATCCCTATGATGAGAGTTGAAAACATTAAAGAAAGAAATAGGAGATATTAAAAAATGGAAAAGTCTTCCATGTTCATGGATTGGAAGAATCAATATTTATCAAAATATCCATTCTTCCAAAAGCAATTTACAGATTCAGTGCAATACCAATCAAAATATCAAAGACATTCTTTTCAGATCTAGAAAAAATGATGCTGAAGTTCACATGGAGGCACAGGAGATCTCAAATAGCTAAAGCAATCTTGTACAACAAAAACAAAGCCGGAGGCATCATAATGCCAGATTTCAAGACACACTGCAAGGCAGTTATAATTAAAACAACATGTTACCGGTACAAAAATAGATGGATAGACCAATGGAACAGAATAGAAACACCAGAAATTAATCCAAACATCTGAAACCAACTTATATTTGACCAAGGAGCTTAAACCGATCCCTGGAGCAAGAACAGTCTCTTCAACAAATGGTGCTAGAAAAACTGGATTTCCACATGCAGAAATATGAAGCAAGACCCCTATCTTACACCTTACACAAAAACCCACTGAACATGGATTAAAATCTAATCTGTGACACAACACCATAAAATTACTGGAGAAAATTGGGGAAGCCCTGCAAGACACTGGCACAGGCAACGAGTTCTTGGAAAAGACCCCAGAGGCATAGGCAGTCAAAGCCAAAATTAATAAATGGGATTAGATCAAATTGAGGAGTGTCTGTACTGTGAAAGAAACACTCAGGGAAGTGAAGAGGGAACTGACAGAATGGGAGAAATTATTTGCAAACTGTGCAGTTCGTAAAGGATTAATAAGCAGAATCTACAAAGAGATCAAAAACTCCACAACAACAAAACAATCCAGTTAAAAGATGGGCCAAGGACTTAAGCAGACATTTTTAAAAGAGGATATCCAAATGGCCAACAGATACATGAAAAAATTTTCAAGATCACTAGCTGTCAGGGAAATGCAAATCAAACTGCTTGATTTTAAGAGAGCTTGTAAGAATGCTGGAAACTCAGAAGTGATGATTGTCACTTGTATGCTAATGAGATGTCTGCTGGTTGTGGCTCCTACATGGCTTAAAGATGTTGGCTGGACCAAGGAAGGCCATGGTGGAATTAGAGGGCTGGATCTTTCAGTTTCACCCACCCAGATTCCAGGGAGGAAGAGTGGCAGAGGTGGAATTCATCATGAGCACCCAGTGATTTAATCAACCTTACCTAAGTCGTGAAGGTTCCATACAAACCCATAACAGTGTGCCCTATATGGCTTCTCAGTTGCTTTAAACTCATGGAGATTTGAGAGTGTGGTGCCTGCAGAGGGCGTGGAGGCTGTTTGTTCCCCACCTCCTACTTTACTCTGTCTCCTCCATTTGCACCTTCTTGAGTTGTATCCTTTATAATAAGATGGCAATCAAAAACAAACTCTTTTTCCCCATTCTGGGACCATTCCAGCTAAACATGGAGAAGGGGGCAGTCATGAGAACCTCTGGTTTACACCTGTCAGAAGTATAGGAAGTGTGGACTTGAGAGTGGCATCTGAAGTGCTAGCAGTACTTGGGGCCAGGCCCTTAACCTGTGGTGTCTGGGCCCTGTCTGGGGAGAGTGAAAATGAGCTCACTGGGCACTGAGTTGGTGTCCAGAGTGTTGGGGAATTGGTTCCTGTGGAAAAAGCAACAATTTGGAGTCAGCAGTATGATGTCATGGAAGCCATTCACATCACAGTCACCTGTGCTTGCCTCTCACACATTTGCAATTTAATATTGGTTTTCATCTTTTAAAAAGGTAATTTTGCTGTCTCTTCCTCTTTCTCTTTAATAGTCTCAAGATGATTTTCTAATGCACTCGTTTGCTAACAAGCACCTTTGAGTAAAGTGTGGCTTGCTTGAATCACTGTTCTGTGGAGTGGCAGTGGCCTCATCCTGACCCTTCCATGTCCTGGGTCCATAGGCCTTCCCTAGACAGCAGCTGTAAAGCCTGCAGCTGGACTGCTGCTGCTCTTGAGGTCCACCCTCTCCTGTCTCAGGGACACAGGGAAGCTCCGACCCCAGCACCAACCTGGTGCTTGCTCTCTTCACCTCCAGGTTCAAGTTCCTGCAGGAAACCATGTTGCCCCTGGCCTTACTTCTCACCATGATGTTCCCCCTGGTGGAGAGCAACGTCACTACCTCCAGGGAACTGTGGGTGGAAACTAACATCACTACCTCCAGGGAACCATGGGTGGATAGCAGCGTCACTACCTCCAGGGAACCATGGGTGGAGAGCAGCGTCACTACCTCCAGGGAACCATGGGTGGAGAGCAGCGTCACTACCTCCAGGGAACCAGGGCTGGAGAGCAATGTTAATGTTTCCAGTGAACAGCGTTGTAAGTATGTTGTGAGAGATGAGAATATCCGGGACTTGAACGGGATCTTTGGATAGGTGGCCTGGAATTTGAATTATCTAAGCCCACTGGGCTCTGCACTGTCCATGTGATGGGCTGTGGGGTGGGGTGGGGTGGGAGTGCAAGGTCATTGTGGGACATTGTGCTTGGCTAGGAGAGGATGGTCATGAGAGAGAGGTGCTTTCCCCAAGATGCAGCAGACCAGGACTTGAGGGGCAGTGTGGGAGTGGCACTTTCCCATGAGCGACAGGCAGCAGTGGCTTGTCTAGTGACAGCCAGAGGACTCTGCACTGTGGCAGTTTCCTGCCTTCCTGGAGGTGTTCTCACTGGAAGGGTAAGGCACTGTCACACATGGCTGCCTAGGGCACTCCTCCAGGGCTGGCTCTGGGAGCAGGGGAGCTCCTGGGCCTGCCTGTCTTTGCTCAGGGAAGCTGGTGTGGGACAGAGTCAGACTGCCCGTGCGGGTCTTGCAGGCTGGGGAGGCCCTGGAGGAAGAATCAGAGCCTGTTGTGAGAGGAGGCAGAATGGGCTGGTAGTGGGTGGCAAAGGCACAAGGAGAAGTCTGATGTCTGCTTTCTCATTACACAGGGACCTATTATATGAAGTGTTATGATTGTGAGTCCATAAATAACTTCAATTGTGCCAACTTAAGAACCTGTCCCTATGACATCAGGCGCTGCATGACAGTGTCTTTGCGTAAGTACCTCTTTATGTCCTCAAATTTTGTGGATGAGTTGTGTGGGCTCAGCAGTTTAGGAGGTTGGGCCAGGCTGTTTGTGTGTCTGTGCCCTGTGCCCCTGCTGTCTTCCCATCCTGAGAGCGTGTTCCCAGGTAGCAGGATCAGCTTCCTGCTGGGGCAGTGGGCTCTGTCTTTAATTAAGGACAGGTACTGTGCCAGGTGGGTAGACCTGGCTGGCTACACAGCTGCCCCCTCTCCATGGGAAAGGAGCATTGCTGGGCCTCACAGCCTCTTTCCTTGTCTGTCTTGGTCATGTGTAGACAGCCAGTGCCACAGCTCACTGCCCATTCCATTTTGGGACACCTGGGGAGGGTCTCCCTGAGCAGTGGCAGGCGGGGATGCACCTGGACCCTCAGTGCCATGGTCACCACACCCAGGCAGCAAGGCTCAAGGTGGGGCAGAGAAAATCACTGTGCCAGCCCCTCTTCATTGTAGGAACTGCTGTTGGCTCGTGAGCACCTGCGGATCTGTGGCTAAGGCCAAGACCCAGAGTCTGGCTTTGCTGGTCTGTGTGCCCACCGTGGGCCCTGCTCAGGGTCTTTGAAGGGTTTGGTGTTGCCATTTTGGGATGACGGCTCATGAGTCAGGCTGGGACTGCTTTCTCTCAGGCTCTCTGTCCCTGACTGGCTCTGGGGTCTAGTAGACCAAGAGGAACTCAGTGAGGTTGCAAGGTGGCTGTGAGATGGGCCTCTGACTCAGGAAGGTCAAGGTGGCTTAATTTAGCGATGGGCTCCCAGGACCTTAGCCTGACCTCTCACGAGCATCCTTCCTGTCCACCCCATCACCTCCACCTCTGGTCCTTCCAGCTGCCAGCAGTTCCTAGGGCCCCAGCAGTTGCGAAGCCGCCAGCCTATAAGGGAGCAGTTGCAGCATCCACATGAGACGCTCTGTGTGGGCTCTTTGTTAGGACGGAGGGCAAGGCTCTGAGATTTCCCTGCAGGCTGGGACTTCCCAGCGTCCTCAGCTTCAGGTGGATCTGGCTCTGGACTCTCCCTCAGACCCTCAGCCTCCCACCCACCACTTCCCCTTCTCTGCTCCTCCCACACGTGGAAGTGGTGAGGGTTGTATTTAACAGTTTCGTCTTCTGCATTGGTGAATTCTGACATGCACTGGGGCAAAGAACGTCTGGGCGTCCTCTGTGGAGGTTTGTCCGTGCCGGAGTGCCGGGACGTTTTCTGCTTCAGGAGCGTCGAGAGGCCCTGCAGAGCCTTGAGTGGGAAATCTGCAGGGCAAACTCTCTGAGCATCCGAGGCAGCGCTGTGCTCACAGCCAACAGCAGGGAGAATCTGTGGCAGGGAGACACACAGACCTGCAGGACACAGCAGAACGCAGTTCAGGGGCAGATGACGGACAGACACAGACTCGGCCTTGGAGGACGGACTGCCCTTGCTCTTCCGCAGCAGAAGGGGCGATGACCTCAGACCTTGCACAGAAGCACTCAGAATGCGTTGTGGGTGACATGCAGAAGTCATACTGAGCAGCTTTCTGACAGCCAGACGGAAGAGAAACGCGTATCCTTCTGGTGCTCAGCAAGCCGCGTGGAGCTGACCCTGAAGTGTGGTCCTCAAAAGGCACAAGTGGTGAAGCTGGACCTCAGCCAATTGGAAGTCTGTGTTTTCTTTTAATTTTTTGCCGTGAATGACCCTGTTACAAGGACACAGAGACAGGCCGCAGAGTCGGAGAGAGTAGCTGCACACCACGTATCCAGGAATGAATGAACGTCCTGTACCCACACAGCAGTCAGAATGCAGCATCAACGCAGCCAGTCTGACTAGGAGGCAGGGCAAGGACAGGAAGAGACGTGTCATTGACGTGAGGACACGAATGGCCGTGGGCACGGGAACAGATTTTCAGCATCGTTGGCTGTTAGGAGGGTGCACGTTAAGGCACATGGCTGCCTCTCGTCGGAGGGACCAAGATGAAATTCATGCCAGTGTGATACGAATGCTGGGGAGGGTGCCCGGAAACCAGACCGTGCGTCCCTGCTGGGGGAGTGGAACGTGATGGCGTCACTGCACGTGGCAGTGCGGCCTCTTCCCTTTCTACAGAAGCGTCCGCCACACGGCCCCAAGCCTGGCTGCATGGGTGTTTTCTCCAGAGGACTGAAAGCCCCAGGCTACACGGAAACAAGCCCATGCGTGTTCACTCAGCGTCATCTCGAGACAAGGACCTGCTGCACTTAGCAAGGAACGAAGGATGGACTTCACCCCAGCCTGACCGATGGCCAGGGCTGCTGCTGAGTGGAAAGGCTCCAAAGGTAGCATCGCTTACGTTCTTCTAGTAACTTGATGCATATATAGTCGTGGACAGCAGCTTCGTTTTGTGGGCGATCCGGGACAAGGCAGTTGGGGGGGAAGAGATTAGTGTGCGCATGCAGGAACACATGAATCCAGTGGTCAGACTGTTGAGACGTCTGACTGTCGCCAGTCTTAACAGCCTCATTGTGATTTCTATCAGACTTCAGCAAGGTGTTACCAGACAAATAACTCATTAATGGACACACAACTCTCCATGAATACAGAATTCTTTTAAAACACTTAAGCAAGTAGACATGAAGATGAAATGCATCATTGACTGTATTAACATTAAAGCAGAAATAATGAGCAGGGTAGGACTTTCAGAGTAACAAAACTAATGCACTGTGTTCACAGTATATGAGCTTTTCAAAGAACACACTATGTTTGGGAACAAAATAATGAAAATGTCACATTTAACCACTGTGCAAAGGAAACTTACCCACACATGCGGGCAAAACCAGTATTAAGGCAAGGGCTTTACTCTTTGAAGGGCAATACTGTATGGACCTGAAGGAATGATATCCTTCAGGATGTCCAGCGGTAAGATATCCTGATCTAATGGATATATACCAAACAATGTAGAATGAAAACAAATGCAGAAAAGGAAACATAAGGCAACGCAGGCAAAGCCACAGTTACAATCTTGTCTGTAACACAGCTCTTTTCATGGCTTCTAGATAGTCTAGGAAGGAGATAAAACATGCTGGGTATAGACCGGGGCTCAGCATTTTCCATGAAGGACCAGATAGAAAATGGTTTTCTTGGCTTTGTTGTTCATTTGAGCTGTGTAAACTTGCCTGCATCTGCTTTGATGACCGGTGGGTGCAGTCCTAGTAAGAAGCAGCAGGTTGTTGCTATGTTCCATTAAATGTTTGTTTACAGAATCAGTTGGCTGACCAGGTGTGTCTCACAGCTTCCTGTTGCCAGACCCTATTGTAGACATTTGAACCCCACCATGAACAAATGGAATAGTCCAGTCAAACATAACACCAAGCCAGAAATCACCAAGTACATTCTTACAGTCTTATAAGGATGCATGACTCATTCACAAAACTCATGATGTGCCATAATACATATGTTAGCAAATCATGTGACTGAAGCTGTTTTAGCTAGCCCTTCTTATTGCAGGGAATTAAGGTAGAAAACCTCAGGAATGCAGATTGCTTCCAGTGCTTGGAAATCAGGCAGAGAATTTCTGAATGGCCATTTACACAAATGTGAAGTCACACAGAGAAGAGGAAACATAAACATCTGAGTGATTAGGAGGCCAGCACGCAGCCAAGTAAATAGAGAGCAGCTTAAAGGAGTGTGTCAAGCGAAATGCACAACATTACAGGATGCAGCAGAAAAGAGCAATAGGAGGAGATCCCAGCACTTCTATCAAGAAGCTAGGAAAAGAAGGGCAATCTACCCAGAGGAGTGAGGCACATATAAAGGATTGCTGAAATCCATGAGATGGGGGGCAAGCATATATAAATTCAACAAAGCCGAGAGTTACTTCTTCAGAAAGGTTCATGGGTATCGGTATAACCTTGGAAAATAAACATAAGTAAAATTCAATTTTCCGGTGTCCTAAGTGAAGGCGGTACATCATCAGAACCTATATCGAAACTAAGAGGGTGCTGTGAGGAGCCCTCCTGAGGTGAGTTGGATATTCTTGATGAAATGAACAAAAACGGGAAAAACACCACCAGATCTGATGCACAATGGAATTTTAACACTACCCTGTCTTGTGAGTGAGATGGAGCCTTTATGGAAAATCTTTCCACCATGATGTTTCTTGGCTCAGAATGCTTCACTGGCAAACTCACCAAAATTGTGGGGGCAATAACAGCAGTGTTTCATGTTCCCTTGCAGGTAACCAACAAGGTAGAACGACTTCATAACAAGTTTATGGTGACAGCTTAACCTTAACTTTGAAAGTCAGCAAAAGCATTGCACAAAACACAATGTGTAGCCCCTCTGCTCTTGTGAATACACCCGGAAACACAGGAAGAAAAGAGTAACTTGTAAAGTCCTGGATACACATGAGAGTACTCCAGTGCTGTGCGGAGCCCTGGGTGGGGGTGAGGCGGGGACAGAAATCGGGAATGGATCTTGGGACAGGATAAAAACAGAGAAAAGGATGGACTCTCAGTCACATGTGGAGTAGAGTCACTTGAGAATTGATCCGTACTCACCAGTGTGACAAGTGTGCTACTCTAAGCAAGGAAGACCACGGGGCCTGGCTCTGAGCTCTGTAGAAACTCCTCATGCCATCGTTGTGCCTTTTCTAAAAACATAAGACTCCTCTAAAATCAAAAACCCATTTTACACGATCATTACCACCACCTTATGGATTCAAGTCACAGAACTCAATTAATTTGCCACATTTACAAAATAGGACAAAGATCATATAGACAGGATCATTGATATAGAACCTTTTTGATAAAATTCCAAAGTAAAAAAAAAAAAGCCTGTGGAAAGTGGGAGCAAAAAGAAAATTGTATCTTACGGAAATGGCGATTAAATTAGCGTATTGCAGAGTCTGTGTCCTTGAGGTGAAGGATGTGATAAGACTCCACCATCACCACCATGATCCCCAGGGGAACTGGCAGTTTCAGTTCAGGCAGCCAACAGGCAGAATTAAAATATGTGAGGATTTGAAAGAGAAAAAATTT